ATCCTGCCCCACTCGCCAGGGCAGAGGCTAGATTCAGGGATCGTTGGACTTTTCAGTTTCGCCTGCAGTGGACACACCTATATGACTTCTTTGGCCACTTCCACACCTTGGGCGTGTTGGCCAGCACGCCATGTGGGGCCAAACAAGCACACTTTAATCTGTGCTTTGTATGAATATTCAGATACAGCTGTCTGTGACACAGAGATAGCAGCTGGTGTGTTTGGGCCCCTCAGATACCCCCGTGCCATGCCTGGACAGAAGCCGCTGCATCTGGGCCAAGACAGGCCCAGCCGGCCCTGAACAACCCCAAATCCCATCGGTGAGACCCACACAAGGGTTGTCTATGACTCAATAAACACCTTTAGCAGCCTGCAGCACACATGACACTTTCAGTATGTCACTAGAATACTGATATAGCACGATAAATGGCTATTAATTCAAATATGTCAAGCATGCCACCTTAGATTCAACATTGATACAGATTGGAGGTTGGGTTTGGTTCAAGGTATTAAAAATGTCCTTCATTACATCATTGTATCAGGCTTAATTTCTGGGAATCGATAAAATGCATACTATGTACTGGATTTTATAACCTCAGTAACAAGTATGTGTGAAAACAGATGGCATTGCTCTGTGTATTTAATTTAATTAACCAATTAGGGCTTTTGTTGAGCACTCTTGACAAAGCAGTTTACATTTAATTGAATTTCACTTAAGTGAATCACACAGACTTTACGTCAGCCAATCATGGGGCACAGCGCAGTGAATGTGACACCTGACTGTTTTGGCACGCTGCTTAAAACAGCTTAATGGTCACATTTTTCATTATGGTTAAATGTCATAACCGGCTTAGGTTGACATTTACATTTTCCCTTGTGATATGATTGTAATTTACCCTTTTTAATTACTCAATTTAATCTCATACTAATCCAATGATATTGCCATAACAAGTAACGCAAGAATGGCTGGAAGACAAAGCCTTCTATGGTGAGAGGGGTAGTGTTCGGCGGGCCTGGTGTTACCGCCTCCCTAACAGTCTGCTGGTTGGCCCTGACAACCCTTTGCCACGGTGCCAGGCTGACAGTGTGCCAGGCACAGAGAGCAGCTGCCAGGCCAAACCAGCAGGCACTAATTCAGCCAGCCACAGGGAGCCCCCGCCATGCCTTCTTCTTCCAGGCCCTCCCTGTGGCTACAACCACCCCCTCATCTGTGCGTGCACACCCACACACCTTACACAATGCTGGCTTTAATTATGACAAACTTGCCAAAAGCTAATCTCCCATCCGTTTTAATCAAAGACATTTGTAGCTGAGGGGGTTGCCAGTTTTCTAATAACTCATTTCTAAAATGTCTGGTAAATAAACACCTTTCCCTTTGACCAACAACGGCCTTTCTCAATCAAGCAAAGCCTGAAAATCTCTGAAAGCCACAGATGAAATAAAATCTGATATTGCTTGCTAAAGTCATAGCTACATGGACATTCTTAGATTTGTCCAAGTTAGCAGGTTTACAACATTTTAATACCCTTATTTTATCAAAATTAAGAATACATTATTTCTGAACATTAAAAGCTTCATAGGGGGGCTTGCATCATTAATTTGCATGCTTGTCATTGGCATCATGTTCATGGCACAAATAATTAACATGCCGCTCGTTTTGTCATACTCTCAGTGCAGTGCTGAGCCCCGGGGACTGCAAACAGGCCAGCTACTCTGCGGTTGGTTAAGTGTCGGCCAAAATGCTCAGGAGCGTTCAGCTGCTCTTCTGATGTTTTTTGTTCAATCCTGCTGTTTGCCGAGCCTCTCCCCCCAAAGCTAGGCTTATGGTTGAAATGACTAACTTTTTAGAGAAAGTGGTGCTATGAGCTTACTGCTAACAGCGTGCTCATACTGACAAAAAACAGACATTCAGCAGATAATATTTACCTTGTTCACCATCTTAGTTTAGTATGATAACATTACAAAAGCTATGTCTGATGAGAATATCACATCGTTTTGAGGGTATCTGCAGGAAAATAATAGGCAATTCGAAATGTTGGCCTGATTAATGTTCTAGATGAACTTTTAGGGGGTCATTATTTATCCTCTGGGGACCATGAATGTCCATAAACAATTTCATGGCAATCCATTGAGCAGTTAAAATAATTCGGTCTGTAACAAAGTGATGGGACAACCAGGCAACCAACATTAACATCCATAGAGCGATGCTCCTAGCATCCCCAATAAAGTTTTCGTATGTAGTTATGCACGCACAGCGAGACCAGCTGCAGTCTGACATGCATTCGGCCCGCTCTCTCAGCATCATACACATTCTCATCTGCACCCTCACCTGTCCCTCTATCTGAGCTCTTCTGTCCCAGCTGAGTATGGAGAGGCCCTAAGGTTCCGATGCTCCATGCTGCCAGAGTAAACAAAGCGCAGCAGTTTATAAAGATGCATATTGTGTGCCTCCATCTGTTTATGAATGTGTTCATGTTGAGGGGTCTTCCTGAGTTTGGTTTCCTGACTGCGGGAATACATACACACTGTTAGTAAAGCTGTCTGACATATTGATGTTGTGTTTTGTCAGCCTTTCTCACGTTAAATATTAAATTCTCCCATTGATTACGACCAGGGGAGAGTAAAAGAGGGTCATGTTGTAACGTGAGAGAAAGAAAGAGGGAGAGGTGGTGGTTAGGGGGTGGGTCAGGATTCAACAATAGGTTTTTCCTAACAGATGGAAGATTGGCTACAGGGATATAGTTCAGTGTCATAGTGGAACCTGATATCTGATTATATTCCTCGAGGCTCACACACACAAAGGGATTACATGTGGTTACATGAATAATGAAATTGAGATTATTTTTGTTGACACGCGTCTAATTTGTTGTGCCACAGCAGTTGGGATCTGCTGAATACGGCCATAAATTTGTGCTGCATTACTCACGTAAGACCTCACAGATCGAGTTTTTCCAACAAGCCAATCAAAAAGGTTGCTTCTGGCCAAGTCTGCCACCTAGACAACTACCAGGTTAAACGAAGCTAGTCATTAGCTGATAAATGTCCATGTGGCAGGTCTTAATCATGAGTAAACATTTAAAATGCTCACAAACAATACGATTAATCACAGTCCAGTGGTCCAAACTGTGCGTTCAGCAAGAGAAATGCACCGTAATCCGAAAGTGCACTTAGTCAGCAGCGATGCATTTTAATGAAGTGGTTCGGAGTGCTAATCAGAAAACAACATGACCATCCAAATATGGTGCAGTTTGAGGGACTACAACTTGTGGTAAATTCTCCTTTTGTTCTTAATAATTAACAAAAGCCTATTCATTATGAACAAATCTGTAGCCTAACACTCAAAGAGATGGGATGGTTGCCTAGGAACTTTGTTTTGAATATCTTGTCGCTTTGGGTTTGTTGTAACTGGAGCCTATAGTATGACAGTAATATAGTGGAAAGTAAATAAGGTGGTGGTGAATGGGGAACACACACAATACCTTTGTGTTGGGAGCCGTCAATAAGGCAGAGGATCCATAATGCAGTCTGGTACATGTCCCAGAGGCCTGGATGACTCTTGATACTATGGTTGAAAGAAAGTACAGAAATATAAAATAAAGTTTAGGGTAACCTGTGTCTTCTTTTAAAGTCATAAATATTGTTTATGGGTGATCTATTTCCATTATACCTTGAGCAAACAGCAGGCCCGCAGGTTCCCACTGCTCAGTCAAAACAATAATGGGCCTTACACAGTTGAGCAACCATTTTCGGATGCTAAATCAACACAGCTGGACATCCTAAAGTTTGTGTTTATGTCTGTGCGCTACCTTTCCGACTTGAGTCCAAAAATAGCTCGGGAGCATCCTGCTGTGATGCTGGAGGTGCAGTCATCTTTCCCCTCTGAAGGACACAACACTGTCTGAAGTTTGGGAGCAGGGGGAGGAAGCGGTGACTACCGTGTGACAAGCGCCCTGTTCCTTCCTCCCAGGCTTGAGAAACAGGAAGTGCTGCACATAAGGCATTATTGTGACGGAGAGGAAATGCAATGTCCTCTAAAATAAAAGCCCCAATCTGGTTGTCAATGACAGGAGCCTGTCCTCCACAGCCCCACAGAGACCCCCCTACACACACTAACCCCCTTCACAACTTCACTGTTGAGTGACGCACATGTATAAAGCAAGCTCCCATTCTGTAGCTTTACAAGACTTCCAAATGAAATGCATACTCCATATACATGTAAAAGTCAAGAGAAGGTATTAATAACTTCTGAAAATGTCAGTGCAGCAGCTTAAAGATCTAATCAAGTGAATCAGCTTTAGGATCATGTCATTTGTTCCATGCTGAACCCAGCCACATACAGATTGAGCAACAGCAGCATTTCAAAGGGTTAAAGGTGGCATATGGGTAGGATCCATCCTGTTTGTGTTTAGCAGAAGCTGAGGAGCTGGTTGCTAAGAGAGATGCAAGGCTTTGTGCCGGGCTGCTTCCTAGTTAATTAAAATCCTACCTTATCTGTTTCACGCTTTCAATTAGAAAGCTCTGGAAAGCGTCCAAGTCTCTGCATGAAGATAACCATAGCAATAAGATGTGATTAATATGGGGGCCCATTCGTGCAGCGGCAAGGCCCTGCTGTTGTGGCCATGCCTCGTTTTGATCCTAGCCACCAACCTCTGATGATCCAGGCAACAAATGGCTGAGCGGTGCCTCTGCAAAGTCTGCATGGCACCTCCAGCAGCAAATTAAATGGATAAGATCTGCTTCTGTAGAACATGACAGGTGCTGGCCACCAACTGTGATCATGTACATCTGAACTGCAGCACTGACGGAGGCTGCAGAGTCTCACTGTTAAGCCTGTGCCAAGACTAATGGTTTTCTTTGGTCATCTGTAAGCTAAAGAAATGTCAGCTAACAATGTTTTTGCTCAATTAAAGGCAGATCCATCACCATCTGTCGCTGCTTTTTCACAATCATATAACTTCAATACAGAAGACAAGCTGTACCATCAATAAATCACACTAAGCGTACACTCGTATGGTTTAATTATAAAAGCCAAGGCTACAATTTGTTGTCATTTTCTGCAAAAAATAAACAATAACACTTGACTTGTACACATTTTTTAGATGTTAAAGTCAAGAATGCAATCAATTATCATTCATTCAAAAATAAACTGAGAAGGATTTAGGGGCTAAAGGAAACACAACACAAATAAAAGGAACAGACAGGCTAACGTTCAGTCACAAACAATACAAACATGTTTGAATGAACTTCCAAACAACTAAATATTAGTGCCTTTTTTTCGAAAGACTTTTCACAATGCATCACATTTGTTTATTAGAGCGCTTGGCAATCAAACAAATCACCTGGCATCAAACACATCTCGGAAACAAATATTTACTGCCATCTACTGGTCCCTTTAGGAAACGACACACATGGAACTTGATCTTGTGAGATTTGGAGGAGGAAGCCTCTTCCCATGGCAGGTAAGGCTGGGATGGATGACTGCTCCTTCCCAAAGGTCATTCCTCTACCCATTGTGTCCATGGGCCCCTCTGTGCACCCTCTGCTTACACCGAGAGACAGGGGACTGTTAACAGACATTTGTTTCCTGAGGTCTGGGACTGGAGCCTGAGGTGCTGTGTCAGGGGAAACACTGGCGACTCTGGGAGGGCTCTTTGGTGGCTCGAGAAGGGGAGGATCAGCTTGTGGAGGTGACTCATCAGCTGCAGGTTCAAAGGACTCTGCCTGTCTGTGCCCGTGCTCCTCCGCTGCAGGGGAGGTCTGGGATGGAGCCTGAGGTGCTGTGTCAGGAGAAACACTGGCGACTCTCTGAGGGCTCTTTGGTGGCTCGAGAAGGGGAGGATCAGCTTGTGGAGGTGACTCATCAGCTGCAGGTTCAAAGGACTCTGCCTGTTTGTGCCCGTGCTCCTCCGCTGCAGGGGAGGTCTGGGATGGAGACTGAGTCCGAGGGTTGAAGCGAGCCAGCAGTCCTTGCTCTGTGGTGGGGAAACGGTCGGCAGCCCACTTCTGTCGCTCGATATGCATTTGCTCTAGCTGTCTGAGCTCTCTAGGCAGCTCCAACACACTCTCCTGAGGATGCAAAAGGGAACACTGAAGACTAGTGTTTTTTTATAAGGATGGATTCACATTTTCTTCCAAGTTTGTCTTGAAACAATACAGCCAGGAAAAAGAATCCTGACTGATGTTTTTGTTTCTTCTGTCTACTCTACATGTAAAGAGATTTCTGCTTAACAACATTTCAAGGGATGTGGGGCAAAATCAAGAGTCCTCATTCACTGAATAAATAAAAACAAAACATGTGAGACTCAAGCAGTTAAATCCTATCAGGAAGTGTTCTTATGGCAGCAACTATTACAGTGACACAATGTAATTGGTGGCATGTGAGCATTTGTATTGATAAACTTGAAAACTCAGCATCATATCTTTTGTCTTTTAAATTAGCTTTTTTATGAAAGCAATTGGCATCATTTATTACCATCTTGCAACAGCCACACTTAGCAGATTTGTGTCTTTCTTTTGTCAGGGAATTTCCTTTATTGATTGCTGTCTGGATGTGAAGAGTACTTTAGCAAGTGTAACAACATTTTTCCTAAATACATAACCGACCCTAGCTTTGTTGACAATAATTTAGATAATATTTGTCAAAAACTGAAGACAACTTTCCCCTCACTACTCGTGTCTGATATCGTGCCTGTATTGGTTGATATCAGGCACGGCCCTACATAGGAATATTTCTCCAGCTGTTTTGCAGCATGCTCTCATTGTTTTGAAACAGAATCAAAATTGAATATAACAAAGTCGATGGCTGGTCTTAAATGAGTAGTCAGCTGTTCGGCCGGCAGCAGGGCCTTATATGAATAATTATTTATGCCCTGGACATGTGCTCATTTGTGAACTACCCACCATGCTGACATGCTCCAATTCACCAGGTTCGTATTGGCTGCTGCACAGGTATGAATCCACCAGGGTAATGTAGTCCGTCATGAAAGTATCCAGCAGCACCAGTCTGAGAGGCTGGAGGTGGATCACTGACAGAGCCATGACCTTCAGCAGGGGAACAGGACAGGGCCGCTTGTACCACATCTCCCTTTCTTCCTGTAAACACACACACCAGCGATTACAGTTCATACAGATGCAACTATACAGTTTGGCTCAAATATTTGAAAAACATATTTAATATTTTGTTATTGACTGATATAAAAACTGGGATATGATTAGCAATGACAGAGGGAATGATCTTGTTTGCATCATTGTTCACATTTTGATAGAAACATATATCAAAAATGATCATTGTGTAATTATTTGCAAGGATCTGTATCAAATAAATATTCTTTTCACAAGTCTGTAGAACACGATTTGACCATGGACCTCTCTGAAGAATTACAATACTTAAAGGGATAGTGGAAACCGCGAATTTTGGGTTTAACTTATGTATTTTTATTAAAAATAAGCATAATAAACTATTTTTTTTTATTTCATGCGCCTAGTTTCATTTTATTTTCAATTTTACTGCGCCCTCTCAATGAAACGAAATACTTCGGGAATCGTCGGGAATCTTCGGGTGATGACGAGAGCATAGGAAGACGGGCACAAACAATGGCGGACATTCAATAGCATTTGCATGTGAATAGCCGACCTTTATTATGGTGAATAGATGTGTTTTGTATGGCTGTAGTGCGACAGAAAAATTCTACGTGACACAACGACATTGGATTAACCTTGAGATGCGTTTTTTATTCCGTTGAACACAACTTTTGATCACAAATCAAAAAAGGTAAGACGTAATTATTGTAATATTTTTGGAACCGGATGTTGTTTACTTTCTCTTTTCTGGCTGATAGCTCCAGGAATTCGAGGTCTTACAGTGATGATTACATGTGTGGAATCTGTGGAGTCTCAGCTTTAAATCGTATATCTTGTTTGTGCAGTTAAGATAGTAATAAGGGCATTTCTACCGTGTGTTGTGTGTAAAAAAGCGTTAGCATTAGTTAGCATTGTTTCGCTCAATGCTAATTCAAAGGCTTGGTATTACTCGTGTTTTTTCTAGCTAACAATTGTTCTTATTGTCAGTTAGCGGAGTTTCTTACCTTTTAAAAGGGTATGAAACATTAATAGTTTCATAAATGTTAAGAAGCCCTGAGACATGTGAGAGAAAAAAAACTGTGGGAGGGGTCCACTGGGGGGACCTTCGGGCTTAACTGGTTAACAATGATTAATATTTGTAAAGGCTACAGGTGATCTTAAGATGCGTGAGCTATGCTTAGGGACCTACCAGTCAAGATTATTTGTGCGTAGGGGTGCATCATCTGGCGCCTGGTCCTGGTCATCCTCGCCATTGCCCATGCCGTGAACCATCACCTCGGGCTCGAACAAATAAGGACGTAATGGTCCATCGTCTGGCTCAATATTGTCACCATCGTCGCTTACTGAACCGGATTCAGATTCAGTTCCTAAAACGACATTTTCGTAGGAAAGCCGAGAGGATGTTTCTGACTCGCTATCATCACTGGATACCTCGTACAATCCTTCTTCTTTGTCTGGTATATTTGCCCTTCCACGTTCATTCTGCATAGACGCCATGGTTTGTTATCGTATCGTCTTCCTAAGTTTTCGTCACTTCCGGTTTGGCTGAGTCGAACATTTCGTTTCTAAAAAACTTCGGGGAAGCTGCAATAAAGTGCTTCTAACATGCGTAAGGCAATTATTATATTTTTTTAATCAGGTGTGATTGTTTTGGTACGTAATTATGCTTGTATATAAGTTAAAACGAAACTATTTGAGGTTCCATTTCCACTATCCCTTTAAGTCAGGATGATATTTTGGAACATATTTTGCCTTTAACAAAAACAGTGCCTCCAGCGAAAAATTACACTAATCCATATTGCCATTTCAATTTTGTATTGAAAAACACTAGTATACACCAAATAAATGTTCTCGAATAAGATGTGACTGTACCTTTGTGAGCTGTGACTTCATCTGAAGGGACAGGAGCTGGGAGGACGGCACCTTCAGGTGGAGACTAACCACCTGCTGCAGAGTGCTGACTCTGTCCGGGAGAAAACCTCCAGTGTTGGAGTAGAAGCACATGACATCTGCTACCTAAACACAAACAGAAAAAGAGCAGGTAAAAAAGTAAGGTCTATTAAACATACAGAAGAGAAAGTAGGCCATTGTACACTGAACATGTACCTGCGTATCAAATACGTTGGTCAGCTTTACCCCAAACTGAGCAATCAGACATCCAGCAAGGGCTCTGCAATCATGAATGACCTGTACAAAATGCACAGCATAGATGTTACGTTAATAATCAGAACTTTGACTGAATAGTATTTATAGTGTGTTTATAACGCTTACCTTCAGCATGTGCTTATTTTCCAGGATCATGGAAAGACCGTTCTTAAAGGCCCGAGGTCCAAGTAGCAAGATATCGAATAGGTACACCTTGTTTTTAGTGGCAATCTAAATGAATAAAGACACATTCAGTTTAAAATATGAATCTATATTATTTTCATGAAGGAAAACAAGGCAGCTAGAGACGGAGGGAAGGATTACAACAACAAAAAAGCAGGAATGCAGAGCTTCTCACCTGCAGCCAACACAGTCTCCCGTGGTCAAATACCTCGACTCCATCAGCTCCCACACCTATCACACGCTGCTTCTTGATGTCCATCACCTGACAGAGAGAAACTTAAGACATTATCGAGAGATTTTGAGACAACAGGTCTCAGTAAATATGCCATCACTGTTATTTGCTCACGTGGACTTGAAACATTTGCAATTTAAATGATCTTTGTAACAGAAAAGGAACCTAAAATCAACTTACAGCAGACACAAACTTTTCTTGAAACTCATCTATGATGACAAAGTTTATAAACTCCCCTTCATCTTCATCATCTGTAAAAAGTAAAGGATCCACTCAATAGTAAAAATGCTTACATAGCTTGGATATAGATTTAGCAAAAACACCATAGACAAATTATTTGTATACTCACCCAATGTGATTGTCTTCCTGTATGGTTGAAACTTTTCCACATTCAAATGGTCTTCAAGGCTGGACTCACAGACATTGCTGTGCAACAACAACACATTGCATGTGACCCCTAGTTTCCACCGGGTCCGTCTGCGGCGTGTTACGGGCGCGTTACGGGCGCGTTACGTGTGTGTTACGGGCGTGTTACGGGCGCGTTGCGGCTGCGGCGCCCGCAAGGATCGCGGCCACTCTAGTCAATGGGTGCTATTCCACCAGACGCGCCGCGTTACGGCTCAGAAGCGTCCCAGAAGCGTTTCGCCGCTGGGCTCTGCTCGAAATAGGATTGAAGTCTATTTTTCAACGCGACGCAGCCGTAAGGTAATGTCGGGCAGGAAGTGGAACGGTGACAGCATCCGGCCCACCCCCCAAGTAAACTAATTTGCAGACCCCCTTTCACATCACTACATCGTCTCCACAACGACACGCACAATGGACGACAACGTTTTTATATTGGAAGTGGAAAAACACTTGATTTTATATGACACAACGCATCTTTTTTACAAGGACAACACCAGCGTTCTCCTTTGGTTTACAGGCACTGTATGTGTAAATTATATAGAATAATTATGATGATGAATGCATTTTTTTTACCACTAAAATACAGCAACCCATCTTTGATTCATGTTGTTTTTAACTGGACTATTACAATTATTATTAATTATGTCTGTAGTCTACAACACAACAAAATAGGAAATAACAACAATAAACACGATTTAAACAGACACAAAAATAAACCATTTAACTACGTAGCCTACTTACTTTCTTGTAGAAGTACAAATGTCCAGGAAATATGCCCAAATCAACAAGAACTGCGAGCCGGCATGCACGACGCTCCGCTTCCGTAATGCTTCTGAAACGCTCGTGAAACACGCCCGGTAGGGTATGACGCCGGAGGAGGGCGGCGTCCGCAAGGATCGCGGCCACTCTAGTCAATGGGTGCTATTCCACCAGACGCGCCGCGTTACGGCTCAGAAGCGTCCCAGAAGCATCTCGCCGCTGGGCTCCGCTCGAAATAGGATTGAAGTCTATTTTTCGACACGACGCAGCCGTAAGGTAATGTCGGGCAGGCAGGAAGTGGAACGTTCAGAGCATATATATATATATATATATATATATATACATACACACAAACTCATTTTGCAGACCCTATCCCTCCGTAGTCGTTCAAGTAGGAGGAGAAATGCCAGCGTTCTCCTCCGGTTTTCAGGCACTGTGTAAATTATAGAATAATGATGATGATTTTACCACTAAAATACAGCAACACATCTTTGATTCATGTCGTTTATAACTGGGATATTACAATTATTATTAACTTTGTCAGTACAAAGTAGTCTGTCCAGGAAATATGCTCAAATCAACTGAAACTGCGAGCCGGCAGGCAAGACATTCCGCTTCTGAAATGCTTCTGAAACGCGCCCGGTAGGGTATGACGCGGGAGGAGGCCGGACCAAAACCGTGGCGCAGCCGTTACCCCCAGTTTCCACTGGGTCCGTCTGCGCCGCGCTGCGCTGCCGTTACCCCCAGTTTCCACTGGGTCCGTCTGTGCCGCGCTGCGCCGCCGTTACCCCCAGTTTCCACTGGGTCCGTCTGCGCCGCGTTTGCGCCCGCCGTTTACACCCAGTCTTCCACTGGGTCCGTCTGCGCCGCCGTTTACCCCCAGTTTCCACTGGGTCCGTCTGCGCCGCCGTTACCCCCAGTTTCCACTGGGTCCGTCTGCGCCGCCGTTACCCCCAGTTTCCACTGGGTCCGTCTGCGCCGCCGTTACCCCCAGTTTCCACTGGGTCAGTCTGCGCCGCCGTTACCCCCAGTTTCCACTGGGTCCGTCTGCGCCGCGGTTTTGGTCCGACCCTCCTCTAGCGCCCATAACCCACCGGACGCGTCCCAGAAGCGTTTCAGAAGCGTAGCGTCGTGCGTGCAGGCTCGCAGTTTTGTTATTGATTCGGGCATCCTGGACATTTGTACTTCTACAAGAAAGTAAGTAGGCTACGTAGTTAAATGTTTTATTTTTGTGTCTGTTTAAATTGTGTTTATTGAATGGCTCTGTACTGTACCTACAAGTATTAATTAACTTTAAAACATTAATATGTAGTTGTTACCTTCCACTCCACAAACTGCAGCGACTAAAAACCAGGCCTTGTCCTTTCTGATGTTGTCCTTGTAGTAAGCATCGGTTACATCATATAAAATAGTGTGTTTTTCCACTTCCATGATGAAAACCTCGTCGTCCATTGTGCGTATCGTAGTGGAGGTGTTGTGATGAAGGAGGGGGGTCTGCTAAATTAGTATATGTGGGAGATGGGCCTGGCCCGGATGCTCAACTTTCCACTTCCTGCGAGGGGGGCCTTCCTGCCCGACCTTACGGCTGCGCTGCGGCAAAAATAGGATTCATCCTAATTTTAGAGAAGCGCTGCGCCGAGCCGCTACGCCGAGCCGCTGCGCCGAGCCGCTTCTGGGACGCGTCTAAGCCGTAACGCAGCGCGTGTGGTGGAATAGCACCCATTGACTAGAGTGGCCGCGATCCGTTGGAAACTGGGGGTTACGCGACGCAGACGGACCCGGTGGAAATTAGGGGTAAGAGTTAAAAAGCAAGTCAAAGCCAGCACAGTGTGTTGTCACCATAGACTGTGCATTCAAGGTTGTTCTCAAAGATGACACGATTACATACCTGCTGCCAGTGTTGGCTCCATTGGTAAATTCCACTGTTGATTCAAATATACAAACACGCCATGTTAGATGTCAAAACTTTACCTAAGATATTTCTCAATAGTAATATGCAGAGGTGGAAGAAGTACTCAGATATTATACTTAAGTAAAAGAAGAAATACCAGAGTAGGATTACTCTGTTACAAGTAAAAGTCCTGCATTCAAAATCTTACTCAAGTTAAAGTACAAAAATATTAGCATCAAAATGTACTCAAAGTACTCATTATGCAGATTGGCCCTTTTCAGAATGATATATATATAATATATAATATATATATATATATATATATATCTACAAACAAATGTATTGATATGTTTATCAAAGCTGGTAAAGGTGGAACTAATTTACTGCTGGGTAGTTTGTGAATTTAGTCCAGGTGTAACTGAAGTTTTCTTTAAGTATTGATTATGTTTATATCATTAATCTATATCTGTAAAGTAACTAAAAGGTATTCAATAAATGGAGTTGAGTGAAAGAACACCATTTACCTCTAAATTGTAGTGGGCTAGAAGTACAAACTAGCAGAAAATGGAGATACCGTTGTAAAGTAGAAGGATCTCAAAATGGTACTTAAGTACAGTACTTGAGTGAATGTACTTAGTTACTTTACACCACTGGTAATATGTCAAGTCCAGCCTTCCCTTTGCAGATATGAGTGAACTCACCATTCAGGATCTCATGGCCGAAGAACATTTTAGAGCCAGGGAGTTTACAGCCATTACTGCCACAAACTGAAACAACAAACACAAGTTAACTTAGAGTTAAGTTGATATGTTAGCCTACATAGAGCGAATACATTTTAAACTGAAATCATTATAGAGTTCACTCCTCAACAATCTTGTGCTAACTTTATAAAATAAATACAATTGTTTACTGACCGTCGGCCAAAATCAACGTTTTGTTGGCGTTTATGCGTTGCACGATGCCGAGGTACGATGAGTTCCTGAGGGTCAGTTTGATCCGTTTTCCCTTCAGGATATTAAGCAGCTTGGTGTCGTCAATAACCATTTTGAAGTTAGGTTATGAATTGTTTTAAGCAGTTACAAAAAAGAAAGCTGCTATTTAAGAAATACAGCTGTCGACGATGTTACATCGGCCAGCTAGCAACAGCTTGTGATTTTACTTTACTAAGCTAGCTAGCCTGCAGAGCTAACGTTACATTCACGAGGCGGTGAGCGACCTCTGACCTCAGAGGTCAATGCTGCGTTCAAAAGCTTCACGGTAATTTCAACATCGACTTCCTGACTCTTCATTATTATTATTTTCTTCAATAATGACCGCCTTGCTGGAGTTATTACACGGCAACATACCAAACAAACGACTTGAATCCAACATTAATGGAAATTATTGAATTGAAAAGGTTCTTATTGCTTCCGCTAAGAAAATACAACTCCGTTTACACGGCGCACCAGCAGCAGGAACTGAGACAACAACAACTTAATTTGAAATGAAGGCAGCTCTGACAGAAGTTTACTGTGACTGGCCAAGTCTGTTCATAGTTTGTTTTCCACTAACAAGTCCTTAAACACTACAGAGGCTCGAGACGCAGTGCTTCTCAAAGTGTGGTCCGCGGACCACTGGTGGTCCGTGAGTATATTGGTAACATTTCACATTTTAAATAAATAAATAAATACAAGTTTTCCGCACTCTCGTGGGAATATCTCCCCAATGGAGCGAGCTTAAGTTTCACTTTCAATTGCATGATATAGCCCAGCGCAACACCTTCATCACACATGTTGCTACTTGTTTGTACCATTTTCAGGCAATTTCTAATCTGTTCTAGAAAAACGATGTGTTTTTGGATATGTTTGGAGTTAGCAGGTCCGCGAGTGTTTTTTTATTGGTTAAGTGGTCCTTGGTATGAAAAAGTTTGAGAAACACTGCTCTCGAGCCCATACCTTTTTACACCCCCCCTAGGGGTGGACCTTGTAGTTCTGCATGTGGTTTCAGAGCAGAGCTGGACAACTTTTTTCAAAGGAGGGGAGCTACATTGAGTATTATTTTATAGACCATGTGATATCTGAATACCTAATGAGATTTTCAAAGTTCAACCTTTAAAGTTGAGCCTCTGACGTGCCTGAAATTAACAAGATTGTATTTTGTCACATGTTTCTGAGCTTGTAATAATACGTATTATTATCCGCTATAGAAACTGCATATCTGCTTATTTGTTTTGTGAAGTAAATATTGTAAACATTTGTGGCTGTATTGCCCCCCAGTGAAACAAAAAGAGAATGTTGCAGACGTCCAATGCATTTTGCTTAGTGTCTATGTGGTTGTGGAACAGCAACAACAACAACAACAACAACAACAACAACAACAGGAACAACAACAACAGGAACAGGTAGAGCTTATACATTATGTAATATCTACACTTTAAAAATGATCATATCTTTGTGAAATATTTATTTATATTAAATACACTGCAGCAGTTTATTCTCAATAAGCACAGGTCAGTATACTCAAAATATCCACCAGGGGGTGGACACAGTCCGACAGTTTGTTTCTTAGAAATCTGATCATTTTCAAACTGATAAAACACTTTACATAAAAGCAGCCCAGCCATTTTTATTTACACGCTAAAGACATAAATGACTATGCTGTCAGCTTCAGCTGTTACTGAATGAATATTCATATTTTGCAGCAATGTCTGACCACAGGATTGATGTCTGAACTACTGCTCATCTTCATATGATCTGCATCCATGTGTGCATAATCTGATATCATACCTTCATAATAGAAAATGCAAATTAACATACTAATTTGAAGCTGATGCATGCATATTAGTTTTAAACACATGTACAATTACTAGAATAAGAATAAGACATGTAAAAACATCCACCCAAATTTAACTGACTCATGGTTACTATTTGTCACTTTTTTAAAGAGATTACAACTTCCTGTGATTTGTTATTTTTGCATGGGGTCATTCAGAGTCCAGATCTAAAAGAAGATGTAGCAATACGGTCTACCCAAAACTATCATATTATGTCAAAAATGAGTTTTACTTGAATCAAGTCCCCACTGTATTGGAGGTGCATGTCTTAAAGTCACCTTTGAGTTTATTTATTTTTGTTGTTGGTCTAAGGTTGGGTGAGGACCATGGACTTATGGTGGAGACACACGAGGCAACAGTTGTGTATGCGGCTTTACTTGTTCCTATAATAAAAATCATTACAAATATGCCAATTGTTATTTTAACACTGTTATAATTGTTACATCATGTAATTTCTGCCAGCAGAATTTAATGACAAAAACATTAAAATCAGATTGATGTGCGCCTGGAGCCACATAAGGGCAGGCTTCAGGTATCACTGATAACAACATTGACACAATGGGTGCAGACAATCTATCTTATCAGAAGCAGCCAACTGCTGATACACGGGTTCTCACAATTTCACTCTGTCTGTGAAAACATGTGAACTCATACTGCTCGTCTGTGGACAGCACAAAGGGAGGCAACTCGTCAAAGGGAGGACGCTCAGGGGTGAGGGAGGCACAGCACTGTCTCAGATTTAATCACAAAACATGCACCTTAAAAGGATTTGTGCGATGTGTGGCTCCTCCTGCGCTCAGTTAGAGTGAAGTGCATAAGAGCCAAACGCAAAGCTTTAGAGCTAATTAAACAGCTTCCCATTTGCTTAAACTGGATGTTTTATAGACAAAGAAGATCTGTGATTAATTGCTTTTCCAATTATCTCTTAGGGTTTTCACATGATATCTGTTCATACTCTGGTGTGTTTGCTTGCCATTTCCACTTGCGGAAAGTCATCCAAACACACAAGATTTAGTTTTTAAACAATTGTGATATTCAAATGTTCTGAATAATGATATGTCATCACTTAAATCAAATGTTTAATGCCCCTTGGATGTAACAGCTATCAAATGTCAGCACTTGTTATTCACATAATATGAAGTGTGATTAGATTCTTCCTAACGTTGAAAGACATCTGGAAACAGTCTCTTGGACCTACATAAATGTTCAATAACTTTATCACCCCTTATAAGCCTAATGGAAGCTACAACCACTGTTATCTTTAGAGGAAGGTCCACCCTGTTCCTGTTCAGCAGCCTGAATAAACAAAAAGGTTTCAGTAAACTAGAAGGCATCACATTTCACCGATTTTACAAAATGCATTCATGTCAAGGACGCCAAAAAGACTAGTTTTGGAGACTCAAATATGATCAACATAAGAGCAATATTTTTTTTCAATGCTTTTTAAAGTTTCAAATGAGTGAAATCACAAAACATGTATTAACTGCCTCTCATTTAGTTGAATTTTCCCGTGAAAGAGATACCATCCAAAGTCATTCTTTATTCAAAGTTGTAAAGTGAAAACCCTGTAGGATCACGACTTTTGACGCAAGTGGTCCCGCCTGGTGGAGCTCAGAGGCTGCAGTGAGTGAGTGACAGCCCGGCTCCACGCCACGGCCGCCCACTCTCACACAGACTGCGTGACTCTTAATTGTGTAACGTTCATTGACGAGTCAGCACAATGCTGCCGAGACCGCGGGGCCCAGCGGAGCGATGAGATGCTCCCATCGAGGAGAACACAGATGGACAGCCTAGTTCAGCCACTCGTCGCCCAGTACCTCGCCATGGGATGTCAATCAAAAGAAAACAGCCAAAACGAAAGTATAACGTCGGATGAAAAGGGAAAGGACGATGCGTAAGTCTCATAATCTTGTCGTGGTTTTTATACAGGACTTTCTGGCGTGTAGGTTGCGCATAGGTTCAACAGTTTCTTTATTATGTGTGGTTATCGGAGTTGTGTTAGTGACTGTTCTTGGTTGTACATGAACAGGCGCCTCTTTATGTTTGTGCGTAAAACTAAATTGATGCTGCCGGATGATTTTACGCACAGGTTCTTTAATCGCAATTGCTGTTACTTTCTGACATGCTGCATTTAAAACAGCCATGTTCGAACACATTTTTGTTTACTGGTCGCACAACAGTTTAAACTGGATGTCCGCAATCAACCGGTATTTCCCCAAGTTAAAGGAAGGAAATGAGAACAATGAAAAGCTAAATTCCAGGTGGGGGGGGGGGGTTAAATTCAAACAATGGCTCCAATTTCTTGTGACAATTACGCAGATAGTTATGTGTCATAGCCTGTGGTCTCAGAAGATTATAGTTTGAAACTGCTGCACGTACAATACGTCCTCATGGGCAAAAAGAGAAAGGCCCACTTGCATTACAACAAGCCCTCTGTTGTGTTGGTGTTTTTTTTAAGGAGGGCGACTCCAGGATGCAGCTCCAGGTCTAGAGTTTCTCCTCCAGGCCGTCCTCACAGGTTTCACAAACCCAGCCCGGCCCAGCCTGTCCCCACTAAATCCATGATGTCCCTGGGTCCCCTCACCAAAGGGGGGAGCTGGGAGGAGCTCATTCAGGCCTGTCTGCAGTCTTTTGGTAAGTCCAGCTGACCTGCCTTGGCACTTGTGTTGAGTTTGGGCACACAGGTGTGGGCTCCATGTTTATGCAACAACAATATCTCCCTTTTCTTTGGAATGTTCTGTTTGACTCATGCTTTCCTGCACTACTTGACTCTGTTATGAGAAACAATAAGATAATAAGCCTTAGTTTACGTGAAATCACATTTTGTTGTGGTTTCCCAGAAGACTCTGTTTTTCCCACTACTTTTTTCTTGCAAACACTCAACAAGTTTGGGCAGGCCTCTAACGAAAAGGAGTGGGAAGCTTTGCATTTGAAAGTGAAATGGGATTCCTTAACACTGCTGAATTAATTTGTGTTTAATGTAGGATTTTATGTTTTGAAGATCTTACTCATGCTTCTAAGTCAGATTTAGTTTTATTTTACCTGTAAAATATCAAGTATTTGATTGATTATTATATAATTTCCTATTGTTCAACAGTCACTGTATTTACGATTAAAGTATTGATGATTCATTGTAAGCAAGATATATGGAGGTTTCTTTAAATGAGAAAAACAGCAGTGATTGAGTAGGCTGTAGCTGGATCAATCAAGCAATGATCATTGGCTTCATCAAGTTGACTGGAGTGCTCTCAGAGTTATGGTGATTGCGTCTCTGAAGAGACAAGCTTTCAAATTGCCGTTGCCTGGTTACACAAATGGAACAGGAGCAATGGAGAGGCGTTACAATGGAGAGGCGTTACAATGGGCTGCGCATAAACGACATCCCATATCTGTGGAGCGGTAAACCCAGTAGCAAGGACAGCCTGCTGTTAATTTCAGATTCACGAAGGGAAGATAATTAATCCGAGGAAGAAGAGTTAAAATCCAGGATCAGTGTCATAGCATATTGATGCTTCAATAAGTAATTTCAGTGTCACAT